GGGGGGGCAGGCAGTGTATGATGAGATGAAGTTTTATTGTCTGAAAACATCCAGGAGGCACCAATTAGCTGCTCTGTCTGAAGCCATTATTTCCAATCTTAAAACGGGAAAACCATGATAACAAGCATTAGGAATGAGCGGCTGCCTGGTTCCTGTTGGTGTCTTTAGTTATGAATGGAAGAACGTGGCAGGAAACTGATTGGAGCAGCTTCCACCCTGATGCTGTGAAGGTGAAAGATCTCAGTCAGAAGGAAAGCTGTAGATGCCTTATATTCAACCTCCCAGATTGCATTGAGGGGTGTTAGCTTCAACTTTTCGAATAGTGTAAGAAGTTCAGTCATTTTGAGTCAAGTTGTTGTTGAGGTGGTTTGAGGAGAGGAAGGTTTGTGAATCTCTGCCAAGAGTCTAGCACCCACTCCTGGATACAGACGATACACGTGAACGTTTATCTTGTTGCTCTTTGATGCAGACTCACCTGGTGTGAGACGTTGCACTTGTAACAGCATCTATCTCTTCATCCTTTAGCCTCTTCAGTCTCTGAAGCTGATCCTCGTGGTCTGTTTTCATCTCCAGGATAGACTTCCTTGATTAGAAGGAACGATTAAAATGTTCAAATCGTGAGCTGAACTTCACGAGTTAATTACAGGTCAGGCTGGTTTATTTAAATCAGACCTTTTTGTTCTGAACTAAGAAGTATTAGCAGCGATTGTTATTGTTTTACAGTCAGTCTTTTTTCCCAGGTTTACCTCTGGAGGTCTCGGAGCCTCTCCACCTCACGGTCTCGGTCCTGCTGGGCTTGGGCCAGCTTTCGATGGTACTGAGCCTGCAGCTCGGAGCGCTCCTGCTCAGCCAATCGTGTTAACGCGGCTAGTCGTTCCATCAGCTCCTCACACTCGAGCCGCGCTCGCGTCTCTCTCTGGGCTGCCGACTCCTCCAGCAGCTTCACACGAGTCCTGGAACGACACACAAACAGTGTTTTTCAACCTTGCATGCTCACAGATGCTACTGTAAGCACAGAGATATATAAATGAGAGCATCTGAACGAGGAAACTGCACATTTATATGTCATCAAAGAGTGAATTACTTCTGTGTGCCCTCCAGGAGCTCCACTTCCTGCCTATGCCGCTGTTGGATATTCTCAAACATCATTTGGCTTTGGTCTCGCTCTAGCTTCAGTATCTTTACCTGGATTACAAAACATTGTTTTTAATAAAGACAAATTAATAAAAGGAACAAAAAGAGTTAAAGTGAAGTCAAATTGTATCCCCTGCTTACCTGTCCCTCCAACTGGATAATCCGGGCCTGTAAAAGCTGCTGATCTCCATGTTGTTGTTCTTTAAGTTTCTGCAGGACCCCCGCATCAACAACCGCCCCTTGGCCCAGCAACTGAGTCTGCATCATCTTTGGAGGAAGAGAAACCAAAAATAATCCAAGTGAATATTCAGATGATCAAAAACTTCAAGTGGAAAAGTTAAAGTTCATCCTGACCTGCTGCTGTAGAAGCAGCTGCTGCAGACTGTCTGCTGGCAGGGACACCTGCTCTGGAGAATGGACATTAAAACACTCTATTATCATTTATGACAGTGAGATTTTTTTTATTTAAAAACAGGAACAGCACCTGTATTGGGGCTGCAGCTGATGAGCTTGGTGTTTGCTGTTGTTGTGGAACTGCAAAAAAAAAAAAAAAAAAAATCAAACAAAGGCTCAGATGACTAGAGAAATTGCATTTACTGCTAAAATGCAGTGTGAATGTTTACTGCTGCAGAACTTGCTGAAAACAGCTGAAATTAGCTAAAAACATGCTGAAATGTAGCTGAAATGGAAGAACAAGCCTACTGTAAGATAGCAGAAGAAAGTAGAAAGAACACATATTTGCTGAATATGTGAATACGTCTTTAAATAAACAGAAATTAGCACAAAAATGAGAAAATTAGACAAAAAAGGGCTGAAATTAACAAAGAAAAATTGCTGAAAAGGCAGAAAGAAGTTTAATCTGCCAGAAGGAAGCGGAAGGAGCTGAAATGAGCTTAAAAAAGTGGAATTAGCTGGAAATGCTAAATTTAACACAAAACAGCTAAAAACTTGCTGAAACAGCATAAAAAGCTGAAACTAGCAGAAAGAAGTTAAATAGGCTGAAAGTAAGTAGCAGAAATCCCCAAGAAAAACTTTAATTTATCTGAAAACACCTAAAATTAGCTAAAAAAATGCTTAAAAAAAGTGGCTGAAAAAGTAGAATAAACTTAAATTAGCAGAAGAAAGCAAAAAAAACCATGTTTGCCCAGTTAGGTTGAAAGAAGCAGAAATGAGCACAAAAAGTGGAAATTCTCTTTAAAAACTTGAAATTTGCTAAATGAAACAGCTGAAAAGTAGCAAAAAAATCTGAAGGAAGCTTAAATTACGAGAAGGAAGTGGAGGGAGGAATAGCTTGAAAGCTGCGGGTAGAGAATCACACCGAAAAAACGTAAGGAAGAAAAATGGATCACAACAATGAAAATGATGAAGACGAATGCTTCATAAGCATAAACACAATAAATATCAAAGGACAGAAAGATAGTTTATTTTGTTCACAAGAATAAAATCCTATAAAACATTGGTCCAGACAGTGTAGAAGGCAAAGAGCCAGAAAATGGTGAGTATTGCTGGAGTTTACAGGGAACAACCTTAATGACAATTTAGAAACTAGGATTATACATCAGCATGAGGTCTGAGTGTGAAAAATTAAATATTATGATGCAAAAATGTCCCAAAAAGCAGAAGACTTTACTTAAATACGGAGTGGTTTTGGACACATGGATGTGGACTGATCTATTCTTGAACCAGTATGAGTTGTAGAATACCTTCACTGGGCCGCTCCTCTCTGACTGGAGTGGAATGAGCTGCAGGACTGGGAAAAGAAAATTTTACATCACTAAATGTTTACAAAATGATGATTTTACAAAACGTAGCACGGTGGTGCAACTGGTAGAGCTGCTGCCTCTCAGCGAGCAGGACCCCGGTTCAAATCCCGGTCCGGGGGCCTTTCTGGGTGGAGTTTGCATGTTCTCTCTGTGCATGCGTGTGTTTTCTCCTGATACTCCGGTTTCCTCCCACAGACCAAAAACATGCATGTTAGGCTGATTGGTAACTCTGAATTGTCTCTAAATGTGAGTGAGAGGTTGTTTGTCTCGTTTGTCTCTATGTGTCCCTGTGATGGACTTGCGACCCGTCCAGGGTGTACCCCGCCCCTCGCACAGTGATTGCTGGACATGGGCACCAGCGACCCCCGTGACCCAAAATGGAAGAAGCGGGTAAAAGATAATGGATGGATGGATTTTACTAAACAAAGATCTTACCGTGGCTCGTTGATGAATGGAAGTGCGTCTTCTTTGTCTCTTGGAATGTTAGATGTGACTTGGTTACTGAAAATAAGATCATTTTATCATTAATTAACACAAAACATGTCTTTCTGTCATATTTGTGTGAATGTTCCTGAAGCATTCACTTTACTGTGATCCATTATTCTTCTGTACGTTTTTCTGCATCTTTCTCCTTTCTCTTTTTTTTTGGTGTTATTTCAATAAATCATAAATCAAAACGTTCAGCTCTTTCAGCAACAATCCTGCTATGACTTTTGGTATTGGTGCAACTTTGGCTTTTTGAAATATTTAGCCTTTTCTGACATTTTTTTTTCTCATAGTAAATGAATTGAGCTCATTTTACATACTTCAAATCTTTACATGTGTTTACAAACTTTTACTGCTCTTTTCACATTTTGTTCTGGTTCAGCTTCTTTCAGCTTCCTTGTGCAAAAAAACCCCAGCTACTTTAAGCTACTTTTTAGCCGTTTTGTGCTCCTTTCAGATTTTTTCTGCTAACTACAACATTTTTGTGCTTCTTCTAACTTATTTCTGCTAATTTCAGCTTATTATGCTCCTTTCAGCATATTTATGCAAGCTTCAGCTTTTTTCTGCTATTTCAGCTACTATTTAGCTGTTTTATGCTAATTTTAGCTTTTTCAACTACAGTATTTCCAAATTTTTTGCACTCATTTAAACTTTTTCATCCTAATTCAGCAAAAAATATGCTTGTTTTTTCCACTTCCTTCTGGTAATTTAAGCTTCTTTCTGCTTTTTTAAGCTACTGGTACTTTTCAGATGGTTTTTTTTGTGTGCTAATTTCAGCTTTTTTCAGATAATTTCCACTTTTTTTGTTCATTTCTGCTTCTTTCAACCTAATTAGGCGAATATGTTCCTTCTGCCAATTTAAGCTTGTTCTACCTTTTCAGCTATGTTTTCAGCATTTGTTAGCTAATTCCATCCGTTTTCAGATAATTTCACGTTTTGTGTGGTAACTTCTGCTACTTTCAGTTTAATTAATTTATTTTTGCCAATTTCAGCTTGTTATGCTCCTTTCAGCTTATTTCTGCTAGTTTCAGTTATTTCAGCTATTATTTAGCTGTTTCATGCCATGTTTAGCTTTTTCAGCTAATTCCACATTTTTCGAGCTCCTTCCACTTCTTTCTGGTAGTTTAAGCTTTTTTCTGCCTTTTCAGCGATCTGTCAGCTATTACCAATTTCAGCCTTTTTTTAAGCAAATTTCCTAGTTTTTTGATCATTTCTGCTTATTAAACCTAATTCAGCAAATATGTGTTCTTTCTGCTTTCTTCTGCTAATTTAGGCTTGTTCTTCCGTTTCAGCTAAAATTAAGCATGTTTTTTCACTAATTTCAGCTGTTTTCCAGCAAGTTCTTCAGCAACAAGCATCCACATTGTATTTTCACAGGAAATGCAATCTCTCTAGGTATCTTTGTTCTTGTGTGAGTTTTTCACAGTACCTAACAGCTGAATCAACCCCCAACGAGTCCTCCAGTGTGGACATTTTTGTCTCTGTGTTTGACACCGACAGAGCCTTCTTCCTGCTTAGCGCCCCTGCTAACCAGTCATCCTCCTCTTCATCACTCCTCCTCTGGGTTTTAGGAGCCTCTGATTTGCTCTGTTCCGACTCAGGTCGGACGTCCGCTGCCGTTTTCCCAAGAGAAGTGGACTGACTCCCAGTTAAAGAAGGTTTTCTCTCTAACGCAGAAGAGGAGAGGACTTTTGGAGCTTCTGCTGATGCTTTCATCTCTTTGGGACCTCCCAAATATTCAGATTTGTTGTTTGTTCTGAGGCCGAGCCAGTCGGCCGAGTTGCGGTGCCGACTGGGAGTGGGGGTGGTGGGTTTTGGTTTCTTCTCTAAAGTGGAGAGGCTGACATCCTCTGTGGAAAATCTGATCCCAAGAAAAAAAAAAAAACATCTGTTTGTTTACTTAACACATGAAAACAAGTGACAAAAAGCCATCGAGTTTGGACCCACCTGACAGACTGGCGGCGGGACTGGCGGCCCTCAGAAGCGGAACCCATCGTGGGCTGATACGACCCGAAGGTTAAGCCATCGTCTAATAGCGTCTCTGATGAACGTTAATAAACTATTTTATAACATTTGCAACAATTATCCTAAAAACTAAAGCACAAAGTTCTATCACCTTTCACACTTGAGTTCTTTTCTCGGGACCTCTCAGCCGTGGAGGGTCTCTCCAGAAGACGTGCTGAAGTGAAACTCTCCAGAATGTCACTGATTCTTGTTTGAGGTCTCTGAAGGGTCTCGCCTCTGAGAGAAATACAAAACAGAGAAATAAAAGAATGTTAAAAGCACGGAACGTTGATGAGTTTGAAAAAAACATCTACAACTTGTTCTTAGCTGCGCACCAAAGACCAAAGAACAAAGTAATCGTTCGTTATGTGAGAAATTAAAATGGTGCCGACAACTTTACTTTTCATTTGAAGACAATAAAGAAGTCTTATTTTTCTTGGGATTGTTTGTATCTCGGTCAAATCCAAGTTCATTTATTAGGTCGTCCGTGCCATCGTCAAATGTGAACACGTCTTTTCTGGACGTCTTTGCTGTTGAAGAAAAGAGAACATTCAGTGTTTGGTGAATACTTGTGAAAAAAAGGAACTCTTGGAAGGTTTATGGGTTTACGCGTTTCGTTCTTCGGGTTTGGAGATGCTGATGGAAATGGTTTTTCAGGCTTGGTCTGTTCAGGTTTAGATTCAGGCCCAGTTTCTTCTGGAAGCAGATCATCAAGCGACTTGTCAAAACCTGAAGACGTAAACAGATTCCACTTTAGAGCGCTGGAGCTCTTTAAAGACAAAACACCTGACTATCATAGGAAAGTTTGAGTTTTATCCTTTATTCATGTTTTAGACGCTACTAAGCGAGAAAAAGAATGAACTTGTTTTTTATCCGTTCTATGAAAATTATTTTTTGTATAATTTTAAATGTAGAGAATGGAAAAGGAACTCCTAGCACCATAAAAAAGTTCAACTCTATTAACCTTTAATGAAGTTTGTCTAATGTTAGTGATTTGAGATAACAAACAGCAAAGAAACTAATGCCAAAGTCAACAGTTCAGGTAAAGTTGGGAACAATTTAGCAGCAGAAACCCTGAGTTTCTCCTACAGGTCTTGGAAGCCTGGACCTGTTTGTAAATTCTTGTGTAAAAGAACTGACGGTGATTTTTAATTCTAATTTTAATCTTGAGAAAATAATTAGTTCTTTAGTAAAGAGAGCATTTTTTTTTATTTTTTTATTGAGACTGAAATAGTTTTTATCCTACAACAGTGTTCAACAGTTTATTCACGCTTTTGTTTCCGCCCAACTCAATGATTGTAACTCTGTGTGTTGTGTTCGTTGGTCCGGCCTCTCGTGACTGCAGTTAGTTTAGAACGCTTCTTTTGACACAAATTAAAAAGTGTGAACATTCAGAGCTCTACGGTGCTCGCTTCGCTTCCTTGGGCTCTTCTTTGTTTAAGAATTGATTTTAAGGCCCTGAACAAACAGGCTCCTGTGGATCTGTTAGACCGCCTGAAGCCTTATGGCCCCCAGATCCTTTTGATCTAATAGAATGAATGTTTATGAAGCATTCACACAATTGTGATCCATTTTTCTTCTGTACGTTTTTCAGCATCTTTCTCGTTCCACAATTTTTGTGCTGTTTCAACAAATCATTTATCAAAACATTCAGCTCTTTCAGGAGAAAGGTGCTATGACTTTTGGTATTGGTGCAACTTTAGCTTTTTGAAATATTTAGCCTTTTCTGCCACTTTTTCCTCATAGAAAATTAATTGAGCTTATTTTACATCCTTCAAAATTCTTTAGATGTGTTTACAAACTTTTACTGCTCCTTTCACATTTTGTTCTGGTTCAGCTTCTTTCAGCTTCCTTGTGCAAATTTAAACTTTTTTCAGCTACTTTTAGCTAATTTCAGCTTTTTTTTTCAGCTGTTTTGTGCTTCTTTCAGGATCTTTCTGCTAACAACAAAATTTTTGTGCTTCTTCTAACTTCTTTCTGTTACTTTCAGCTTGTTATGCTCCTTTCAACTTATTTATGCAAGCTTCAACATTTTCTTCTATTTCAGCTACTATTTAGCTGTTGTATGCTAATTTTAGCTTTTTCTGCTAATTCCATAAATTTTGCACTCTTTTCAGCCTAATTCAGCAAAACTGTGCTCCCTCTACTTCCTTCTGGTAATTTAAGCTTCTTTCTGATTTTTAAGCAAATTTTTAGCTGTTTTTTTTGCTAATTTCAACTTTTTTCAGATAATGTCCATATCTTCCAGCTTTTTTCTCCTAGTTTCAGATTTTCTGTTCTTTTAGCTAGTATTTAGCTCCTGATGCTAACTATAGCCTTTTCAGCTAATTCCACGTTTTCTGAACTCGTTTCAGTTCTCTCTGCTTCCTTCTGGTAGTTAAAGCTTCTTTTTGCCTTTTCAACTACATTTCAGCTATTTTTTTAGTTAATTTCCTAATTTTTGTGCTAATTTCTGCTCATTTAAACTTAATTCAGCAAATATGTGTTCTTTCTTCTGCTAATTTAGGTTTGTTCTTCCACTTTATCTACATTTCAGCACGTTTTTTTAAGCTAATTTTAGCTGTTTTTCAACAAGTTCTTCTGCAATAAGCATTCACACTGCATGTTTGCGGGACATGCAATTTCTATAGTGATTATTTGCTTTTAGTTGTCCTGAGGTCCACGCTGGTCCTCAGAGGTGATCTGGTGTTTTCTGTTGTAGCTCCTGTGGAAGCAGCTGCCTCTTCACATCAGGCAGGCTTCAACTCTTTGTGTTTTTAAGTCTCATCTTAAAACACATTTAAACACACCAGATTTTTTTATGCAGAATTTCTTTGCTCTATTTTATTAATTTAATTTTGCATTTAGTCTTTTTTACTGTTTTTTTGCTTTTGAACTACTGTTGTAAAACTATAGTTTTGTGTGCAACGCTTCGGCTGATGGTCGTTGTTTTTAAATGTGCTCTACGAACAAAGTGGATTTCATTTAGAGACCAACTGAATGATCTAAAAATGAGAAATGTCTGAAGGAAAGGTTTGTAAAAAGTTAAAGATTAAGAAAAGAGGACAGCTGCTACAAAAGGAGAATAATCCTCAAAATCCAGATTGCCTCAAGAAGTGTTGGGTGAGAATCTGTAGCTAAACGTTTGAAGATCAGGGCAGCTCAAGTCTTGCATGTTTGTAGTATTTTTTACAGCTTTATCTAGAATTTTCTATTGGTGAAAAATGTTAAAGTCTGTAAATATTTCTCCAGAAACTGATCAAAAACATGATATGAGCGTGGAGAATTTTGGCTTAACACACAAACACTCCTTTGGAACGAACGTCTAGTTTTAATTGATGGCAAACAGTTTCCAGGACGTAAATAATTATTACAAAATGTTTCCATTTGATTTGACGTTCCAGCTTCAGAGCATATGCTGCTCTGTGAGTCCATCCTTCAACCCCCACCACCCAACGTTAGAAAAGTGAGTGAAACCACCTGGAAGTGTTCACATTTTAATAATTTATTGTTACAATATTTCTGTTGGGTGATGATTTATAGAAACTATTCAATGAAGATCTTCAGGATCTGAACTGAGAAAACATTTGGCTCAGTCAAATATTTGACCTGTCAGATCACTTACTACAAAATGGATTACAAGGCTTACCTTGCATCTTCCTGTAAAATGTAAACTAATAAATGTTCAATATAAAAATAAAAAAAAAACTAGCACTTTTTGGTATTTTGTCCTAAAGTTGATGATTTGTGAACGAGTTGTCAGTTTTAACGGATATCAAAGTTCTGCAAACATGCCGTTACGTCTGAATTTGATCTTGAAAATAAATCAACAGAAAACGATAACGTTGGGTTCTGCGGCTTCTCTCTTTATTTTCTCTCTAATAAAACCAGAGTTATGCCTGAAATATAAAATAAGTTTTCTCTAACTAGATATGCCATTATTCGGATAGCAGTCGATGAACCACTAAAGGACCAATCACACCTGGGTCATCATCTGATCCAGCTGTTAGCTTCAGGCAGATGTTACCGATCTATTAAATCCAGAGCTATAAGACTCACAAACAGCTTCTTTCTTAACGAAGTAACACAAAACAGTTCCTTTGACTATCTGACCTAACTAAATTTGATTGTTTGCTTTTGCATGTGCCAGGAAGTTGTTTTATAAATACATGTGTGATTGTGTCCCCACCCACACACACACATATATACATATCTGCTCATGTACCTTTGACATCTGATGCCTGACCAGGATGTTCATCGTCCCGTTCACTTTTATCTGAGTATAAGTTTAAAGACAAGCAGTGAGTTAACACATTCACCTTTCGTGTTAGGTTATAAAAAGCTAAATGTGACAGTGAGGATCTCTCACCGACGAAAGTGAACTTCTTGTAGCTGCGCACTGCGGATGAAGGAGTGGAGTTTGGCTTCTTTCCTCCTCCTGCAGCTTCATCTGAATGTAAAAAGGAAGCAGGCAAACCCTAGTCTGATTCAAAGCTGGAAGAAAAGTGAAGCAAATAACGAGAAAGGGTTTCACGCAAGAACAGAATTACCTGTTCCTTCTGGATTCTCAGGACTTTTTAAGGGAGTGGAGTCTTTCTTTAAACCTCCAGGAGCAAATGATTTTGTTTGTGCAGGAGCTGCATTGCTTCTTTTCTTTGATGAAAAGAGGTCAGCCTCCATATCATCCATGTCCTGGGTAAAACAAACAAAAAAAAAACAACAGTTTGGTGAATTAAAACCACATGCTGCATGATAACAGTAGATGTGTTACTTTTGCACATTTCATAATGATCAACCTTCAAGTCCTTCAGCATGTCACTGGGATCAGCTGCTGAGACGTCAGAGTCCTTAACCAGGAACAAAACGACAAAATAAATTGAAGAACAGAATAATATAAAAAAAGAAACCTAAGAAGTGCTCTGTTTCACATCATACCTCAAAGTCCAAACCATCGTTCTTTACCACCTCTGCCAAGACACTGAACATCTTGTCAGAGGGAGACGAGCTGGAAAAGAAGCAGAGTTTTGTTCACAAGAAGAGGAGACGTCAGATTTATTGTTTGTGGCGCACAACTCCTAAATTTGATCAACTTACGGGTTTAGTAGTCCACCGCGAGTTCTTTTTGACCACACCGACTGTTCTGGAGAACAAACAAATAAAAAAAAAATAACACAATAATAAATATTAGCAACATTATGATGTTCAGATTACTGTTCAGCTTCCAAAACAAATAAAACCACACTTACTTTCATCATCTAACAAGCTATCAAGCAAATCATCATCTCCAAACAGGCCTGGAGGAAAATCATAAAAATATACATTTAGCAGGGCTTTGAATATTTTACTGAAGCTAAAACAGCTTTGTCTCTGTAAATGAAATATTGCTTTTACTTGATGACTGCATATTTAAAACACAACTCCCCAGTAAACATTTCGTAAACATTACTTTAAATAGTACATTTGTGCACTGGGCACTGTTTGAAAGGTTTTTGGTCTCAGGTTGTCAGTTCAGGTTAAATTCAATTCAATTCAATTCAAAAATACTTTATTAATCCCAAAGGGAAATTATTTGTTGTTGTAACTTGTTATCCTCGTTTAATTAAGAGATGTTATAGATACTGATGGCTGTAGGCAGGAAGGATCTCTCATAAAGGTCCATCCCACAGTGGATCCTAAGAAACTGGCTGAAGATGCCGTCTGATCCGTCCACCCAGATTCGGCTGGCCTCTCGGTTCCCCCGTGCTGTAGGACCGCCCAAATGTCAGGCAGAACTCCTCCCAGAGCGATGGCCACTCCTCCCAGCAGTCTGCAGAGCTCCTCGTCACTGCGGACAGCCAACTGTAGTTGCCGAGGGACGATCTTGTCCTTCCGCTGTCATGAGCCTGTTTCCTGCTAGTTCCATGATCTCAGTGGTCAGGCACTCGAGCACAGCTGGCAGGTAGATGAGAATGTGTCCACAGAACATCCTTTTCAACTCATTTGAGATTTGGGGCTGTAGTTGAGATATTATTTGAGCTTTTGAGATGTTAATCAGCTGCTGTTGTTGTAGAAAACTGCCTTGTTGCCATGGTTACGCATCATAACAAATGTCCAAAACTAAAAAAGTTTCAGTAAAGATCCTTCCAGCTGCACAGCATCTGATACCAGAGGAAACAATCATCCAAAAAATGTGATTTACATCCAGAAAAAGAGGAATTAAAGTTTCCAAAAGCAAAATCTCAGAATGAAAGTAACAGAGCTGCTCCAACATGCAGCCACCTTGAGCGGCGCAATTCTACAACTCAATAAATATAAATAATATTTATATATAATCAAGAATAATAAATAAAGATATAAATAATAAAGAGGGGAATTTATTTGATTTAAACAACTGTCTGTGAAACAAACTATTTTTCAATAGTACTTTCTGACCCAGGTCATCTTGTCATATGGAAGCCCATATTTAACTTCAAAATATTTCACAATAATTTCACTTTAAACTTAAAATTATTGTTCCAAATGCAATATATTTCTTGGTGTTATGTTATTTGTTTACAAATGCATAAAACAAACGATAACAAAAACAAAACAAAACTGAAATATCCCTTAAATATCCCTGCAGGGACTTACTCTTGGAGGCTGTGGTGTTCGGCTTTGTTGGCTGCAGAATGACAGAGAAAATTATTACTTTCATTCACTTGCAATACGTATGAAGCTCGTACTTTACAACAATAATTATACCTTTCACAAATACGAAATACTTAAAACATGTTTTAACTGTAAAAAAATATATATATCTGACAGTTTCACTCACCATAATGAATCTTTTGGCTCGAAGGTTTGAGGGATGCTAACAAGCTAACGCTAGCTAAATCTGTTCAGGCGTCTCCGGTCTCCAATGGTAACCGCGCAGCTAGGCTAGTTAGTTAGCATTTGCTTCATGCTGAAAATACAAAACTACTGTAGCCAGCAGGTTTGTTGAAAATGAAGGTAAATTAATACGATTTTACATCTATACCTGTCTTTAGCTCTTAGCGTGTTGTTCAATAAACTTCAACCTAGCAAAGGGTAAAGTAACCACACCGCACAGTTACAGTACTACCTTCGTTAGCCTTCTTGGACAACTGAACTAATTCAGCCTTTGAGCTCAAAGTTCACGATTTCATTTACTTAAAGCTGAGCACAAGAGAGTAAAAACAAAATCTTCGGTCCCTTGCTTGGACCTCTACAACAGAAGAACGAACCGATAAACCGTTTATTTCCTGTTTATAGTTCGAGGTGCATTGTGGGCAGTGTAGTTTAAAAAAACTTTTAGCAACACATATACAGAAATAGACGCGGTTTAATTTGGATTGTACCTGTCACCTGAAAGAAAAATAAATTTGCATACCATTTGGCATCTTAATTTTATTTAAAAAAAAGTTAGATTTACTGGGACATTTGACCACCAGGGGGCAGCAAAACGTTAACTAATCAGTCGTAGAAAAATGAACTGCAGAATGAATTATTAATAATTAAGACTGTTGTCAATGAGGTCAATCTCTGCCTGATTTTGCACTTTGAAGTGTCTGAATTCAAGGTAAGTTATCCATCTTGTGTTTGATAACCGTGCTGTAAAATGAAAAATGGAAAGCAACTGCAATGTGCTTTTTAAAATCATATTCAAATCATAAGAGTTTAATCTCAAACCTTCCAGCTGGTAGGTGTTCACGTTTTCTCCCCCAAAAAACGCAGAATTCTGCCACAATTTAATAAAAATGGTATCAACCATCATAAAACATGCTTATTTGTATGGCTGTCTTTTCCCAAAATCTATCATGCACCAACGTCCAAATTGTACAGAAGTGTGCATAAAGTAATTGTTGGAAATGCATCGACAACTGATTAACTTTTGGAGTCAACTTCATTTAGGATGGCCACTGCATCCTTAAACAGGAATGCTAGGCCTTTAATCAAGTGTTGGAATCAATGAAATGTGTGCAAACATTACATTTTTTCTCAATATCCTCGCGTTTATCTTTGTCTCCAAACAAAGATTTGTTTGCAGAACATGGTTATGCAAACAAATCTGTTTAAAACATCTGGCTAGAAACACGCAGCGGCTTTGCTTAAGTGCTGCTGGCAATCAGAAGGAACGTTCTTAATGTGACAGTGTTTCTTTAAGAGTTGCTCCACATTTCAGCTTCATATTGGACAAATTCAACAGAACAATGTTCTGATTATTATAAAGTTTTCCATTTTTTTGTTGATGTAGTTGACATTTCAAATGTGGCGTACCATTTCATAGATTCACAGCAGGCAAAAAATAATAATAATGTCATGATGCAAATATCAGACTAGGTCTCATTTAAAATGATTCCTATTAAATGACAAAAACAAGTCATTACCATTCAGTAGCACACAAATATTTTATTGAGTTTTACATTTTGAGAAGCACATATTGTAAATATGTAAGGTTCACAGGATGGCTCTACTTGCCACATTCATCTTAAGACATAACTTCAACCTTTATCAGGACACTTAGTCAAAGCGCTTTCCTCTTTAATGCATGCATTTAACAGAAAACCTTCAATATGTGAAAAGAAAAAGAAAAAAAAACCAGAATCAATGTGTTCTTGTGGCATTTTATTTTTTTTTTTACATCGCTGAGGCACATTTTTGTCTCATGAAACAGTACACGTAATGTTTATTTACAGCCTACTTTATTTTGGAAGTCTATGTGTTTTATATAATTGAGTTTGAATTCAAATTTGCTTTGCTTTGGATTCATTTAGGCTACAACAAAGATTTAAAGAAGGCGTATTCATTTTTTTTCTGTATGGTAACCCAGAATCACTCCATCCATCCATTTTCTTTACCCGTTTATTCCATTTTGGGTCACGGGGGTCGCTGGTGCCCATGTCCAGCAATCACTGTGCGAGGGGCGGGGGACACCCTGGACGGGTCGCAAGTCCATCACAGGGACACATAGAGACAAACGAGACAAACAACCATTCACTCTCTCACTCACACCTAGGGACAATTTAGAGTTACCAATCAGCCTAACATGCATGTTTTTGGTGTGTAAAAATAAAACCAAAATGTCTAATTTATTGTTATTGAAAATAAGCCCCCCCCCACCCCCCAGATTGTACCTTGTAGCAGCACGCCCAGGCATCTGCTGTGTGAAACGCCAAGAGGTAATGTGTTAAAGGTTTCTCTTAAGAAATCTCTTTCAGATCATGATTTACAGCCCTCTAAAAGGTTGCACAAGTTCAGTGTTTGGTGATGAAACCTTTGACTAGCAGATCACTTGAATTCAACCAGCAACTGTGTTGATAAAATCCACTCAAGTGCCACCAGAAGGAACTGACTTTTATTTTGAAAAACATCAATGCGGCACCTTCCCACACAGTGTTTTGGAGTTATGTAGAAGTGGAGACGTGTTTAGTAGTTCTGTACAGCAGACCTAAGTTTATCCTACATTTTAGTTATCAGCTTGGCAGATTCTTTTTCTGAATCAGCATGCAGACTTGCAGCATGAGAGAGAAGGGCTCAAGTTTGAAAGCTGAGCCTATGAAAACAAAATAATAGGCCTGGACAACAATCGACACGTCTTAACAGTGATGCAGACTCTGTGTCTGTTTGACTTTCTGTCTGTCTGTTAGCCAAATAACTCATGAACCAGTGAATGCATTTTAAAGAAATCTTCAGAACACAATCACTGAATGTAACTAATTTACTTTTGGATGCCTGCTGCAATTAACTGATCCTATCAAACACAGCTCAGACAGTTTTACGCAGTTTGAGATAAATTTTGGAGTGGTAGTAGCTGAGACTGATCCCCAACAAAACTGAGTGCTAACCGATAGCCGAACAGAAACATGCATTTTTTAAAGGAATGCTAGTTTATTGATTAGAATGTGATGCTCAGTTTGAGTTTGGAACTTTATTACCCTTTTACATGTACAGAAAAATGCACTATTCCCCTTAAGCAAGAAAAACTTGACACGGTTCAAAAGACCTCTTTAAGCCATTACCTCAGGTCAAACATTAAAGTCATAATTCATTTCTAACTCAAACCAAACATGTTGTAAATTCATCATTTGCCAGGTCTGCCCCCTAAATGGAATTACAGGCTGTGTTGACTACATTACAGTTTCCAGTTCCAGCAACAAGAGCATCTGTTGGACATTTGGAGGGGAAGGGTTCTGCAAAACAGACGTCTCTGTTTGCGTAGGCCACCATTTCTCTTTTGTTCCTCGCACTCCCGTGTTGGCGTGAGCTGTCAAGAGCAGATGAATCAGGATCAAAGGTTTTTTGAAGTCTGCAAGAAATAAGTCTTAAGATCAGAGGACACTAGAAAACAGAGGAGAAAATAAATAAATAAATTACATCTCTTCAATTTTATGATGCATTTTATTATAATAATAATGTCATCACATTGTCATCACTGTCAGTTTATGGGGTGCCATTTATAAAGTTACACAGTCAAAAAATTAACAGCATTTTTTTTGGTTTATTTAGCTTTTCATTAAAAAAAAACATTTTTCAAAGTCATATTTTCATCATGTCATTCATACATTTATAAATGTCATAGTTCCAAACTAAATATTTAATGTACAAGCTAAATATTTAGTTTACAAACTAAATGTTTATGTCCAAGATAAATGTTTAATTTACAAACTAAATATTTATCTTGCAAGTTAAATATTTAGTTAGTGAACTAAATATTTAGGTGGGAATTAAATATTTAATTTACAAGCTAAATATTTAATTTCCAAACTAAACATTTAATTTCTAAGCTAAACATTTAATTTCTAAGTTAAATATTTAATGTGCTAACTAAATATTTAGCTTGGACCTAAATATTTATTTTCCAATCTAAACATTTAATTTCCAAAATAAATATTTAATTTGCTAACTTAATATTTAGCTTGTACCTAAAAATGTAGGTTCCAAGCTAAACATTTACTTTCCAAAATAAATATTTTATTTGCTAACTAATGATTTACTTTGTAAATTAAACATTTAGCTTGGACATAAACCTTTAGTTTAACTAAAGATTTACTGTGGAACTAAATATTTAGCTTGCGAACTAAATAGTTAACTTACAAGTTAAGTATTTAGTTTGTAAACTAAATATTTAGCTTGTAAATTAAATATTTAGTTTGGAACTGTGACATTTATAAATGTATGAATAGCATGGTGAAAATATGACTTTGAAAAAAAAAAAGATTTTTTTTTCTTATGAAAGGTTAAATAAACCAAAATACTGCTGCTAATTTTTGACTGCGGAACTTTACAAATGGCACTCTATAGCATTTATTTGAGAAAATGAAGACAAGTGTGCACTAACGTTTAAAGTTGGGAAAAATAAGGAAATAAAAGAACAATGGCACCATGACTCAGCTGAAAACTATTCTCTATAAAGTCATTCAGACAAAAAGTGTAATAAAACACATCAAAGGCCTAAAAGCCATACAAAACCACAAAACTGTGGCTGAGTACAAGTATAAGTATAAGTCCAAAGTAAACTTGAAGGTGTAATATTTGAAACAAGTCCTCAGAGAGATGATGTGTTGTTTTTCTGCTTCTGAATCACACAGTTAGTTTCTGTATGATGAATACTTAAAGCCAGATGTGGGGCAGACGCCTTCAGTCACTTTGTCTTTTTTTGATTTTATGAGTTGCATGCTTGGGTTCTTTCAACATCCTAAATATATAAAACACACAAAAACATCCTGATCCAGTCTCCGTTTGAAATATCCACCAACCTGGAATTTTATCATTACAGAACTATTTTGTTTTCTCCTCAGTGAGAGAGGAGTTCTACATGAGAAATTTCTCCCTCTGCCATGACACTTTAAATAACTCGACAGTTATCTTGACAGATTCAAGTGCATTGATCCAATGTGTGTTTTCGAGCTGTGTCCAAAAGCAAATGCAAGTTATAATTTCTTGTGATTGTGCTATCTGAGCTTACATGTCTGCTTTCAGTCAGGTCAAATAAAGATAAAAAAGTGCCAAGAAAATGTAAACTTCGCATATTTGGTGATGATATATTACAAAGCACAAGCAACTTTGAGAAAGCTCCCCCTCAGCACCTGCGAGTTGAAATGTCAGCTTACACGTTCAAAGTTGATTGGTAAGACAAATCAATTTAAACTTTAGCAATCCTTACGTTAAAATTAGATTTTTTTTTTTATGCCTGAAAATCCATTTTATTGGCATCATCAAAATGTGCAACTTGAATATTTTAGTTCCAGTTAATGATCAAACTAAAGTTACAGTTTGGTTATGAAGCAGTCAACACTATAAACAGTGTTGAATTTGCAAAGTCATTCTAAAAGACTGAATCACTGTGACTCAGCAACACATATTTGCATCTATAAAATAGCTAAGAAGTGCAAAAGTCAGATCAGAGAACTTTGACTTGCATATTAAACCTTAATATGTGTCTATGAAAAATCTATGATTTATATAGCAAGATACATAACTGGAGAAAAAGTTAAGTCCCCAGAGGACAAGGTGTGATGTGGACATAACTTGACTCGAAAGCAGACCAACAGTGGGTATTACAGTAAATGATACAGTTTGCAAGATGCTAATGCAGACATCATAAAGTATAAGTGCTTCAAGGGGAGATAAATAATCCTGGGTAGTTGTTGGAATCAGTAGACAAAAAGTCATCATATACAGAAAATGTATTGTAGACACATTTGATAGCATTTAAAGCACTTGATGGAGTTTGATAGAAGTGGGTTTGCATTTGGCTTGGTGCTTGTATTGTACAATTGCCAAACATGTGCAGCCGTCTGGTTTTGGACCCAAAGGGTGCAGTAAGGTAACTGCACTTGTGAAGGTTCTATTTGTCAAAAATGGACCACACCAATGAAGAATTGTTGCACTGAGTGCCAAACAATACAGAACCAATGATTTGAGCATTTACCATTCAAACCCAGGTATAGGACACCATGTCATTCCATACCGTGTCTCCAGGACTGATAACAGCTGGACTACAGGTTCAGTGTCCCATGCGTAGGCTACCATCAACACCAGAGCAGAGAAGGCTGCGTTTGTAGTGGCGCCATAGCATATAAGTATGGACGGTCCTATATGCATTATTGTAGATGAGCATCAAATGTGTGTTTAGTTGGAAAGAAGGAAGAGTATCATGTCAATAGTGTTACTCATGTGAGGAGCCATTGGGTATGAGGTGGTATAGGTCACCTCTGGTAGTGTCTTTGGAGATCCTGACAGCACTGCCAGTGACATCTTGGGCCTTATACCTTCTGAGATGGCACCCTGCTATGGCCTTACAGCAGGATAGTGCTTGCCCACTCATAGCACATGACTATACGGACTACATGCGTCACGCTGAGTCCCTTCCTTAGCCAGCCAGGTCACACAATCTTTCCCTAATCAAACATGTGGGATTAGCTCGGGCGTCAACTCTGACCCAGTGCCGATTTATCGGATTTAGTGAGCCAGTTACAACAGCTGGAGGACTTTGTTCTGCACTGACATTTTGCTTGTATCCAGATGTGAGAGGCTGAGAAACTCTACTGGCATTGGACCAAGTGAGCTTATACTTCACTGTACAATTGATCTGATGTTGTATTTATTACAGTGCAATCTGATGACATTTTACCATACTTCACCATATTTAATTTCCACCTCTCCGTCTAGGTGCTCAATTTTTTGTCTGGGTATTTTACTCCTGTGTTCAAAGTGTGGTTGCAGGGAGGTAATACATTTATAATAACCAAGCAAAGAGATGACGGATTGTTGTTCTGCCTCTGAATCATTTAGTATTAGCTGAACTTAAAAGCCGAATGTGGGGCAAGCATCTTGGCTCTTCATGCATTTTTGCCTTTGCAACATGCCCTACTGCTCCACTTTTGAGCATGCATCACGGTGTCTGTGTTTTTGTCTTTTGAACTTACCACAGAATGTAAGGATGTTTGCATCTATACTTTATACTGCATACACTTTTTGTTTTTACTAGCCCAAATGTAAATGTGAAGGATTTTGAATAATTCCCAAACATTTTCTGTGTAGAAGTGATTTGTAAAGGCCAAAACTTGCAGAATTTGACAAAAAAAAAAATGCTTAAAGCAGTCTATTTATTAGAATAAGTTTTCATTAGTTTGTTAAGATTTGTTTGTATGTTCTTACCTTGTTGTGATGTCATTCTGGGGTTTCTGTAGTCCCATTGCTCTTTACGTATGGCATTTCCATTTCAGCATCATCTTTCTGTCTACAAATGGAGATAAGTAACGTAATATATCCAGCCATTGTTTTTACCCGCTTCTTCCTTCACAGGTCGCGGGGGTCTTTCACTCTCTCACTCTCACTTAGGGACAATTTAAAGTTACCAGTCAGCCTAACATGCATGTGTTTGGTCGGTGGGAGGAAACCGGAGTAACCAGAGAAAACCCATGCTTGTACAGAGAGAACATGCCAACTTCACCCAGGAAGGTCCCTGACCGGGGATTCGTTCCAGCGACCTTCTTGCTTAGAGGCAACAGCTCTACCAACTGAGCCACAGTACCGCCCTAACGTAATATAACATTTTCAAAATGTTTCATTAAATGTTCTACAACCATCCATCCATCCATCCATGCATGCATCCATCCATCCATCCATCCATGCTTGCATCCATCCATCCATTATCTTTACCTGCTTCTTCCTTTTTGGGTCACGGCGATCATTTTCTACATTCCATTCATTTTTAATTAAAAGTCCAATAAATGAGATTAAGCTTTTTATCCACTCCTAATGGTGTGAGCCAGATGTTCCCGTGGTCTTTGGAGCAATAACCCTGTGTCATTTGATTGCGATTGCTGTGAGAGTGTGTAAGTAGGTCCAGGAGTGGGAAGATTGCACTTTGGGTCAATTAGTAGCCATGAACTTAAGGGCTCTGCTATTTTCTCCTCCATTCAGCTCTCCACTCGAAAGAGCTAGAATACAGGGCCATTATGAAGCCATCCACTTAATCCACACACTGTTGCTTGAGGCGAACCAAAATAACCACAGGGGTAATTTTAAATCAATGGTGCAGACAAGTCTCTCCTTTCTCTTTCACACTTTCTCCCACACATGAGCATCTTCTTTTTTTTTCTCTTCTTTTTTTGTGGTATGTTTTTTTATTTGTACGTGTGAGTGTTCAGAACTAGGTGGAAGCATCTTATATAATTTATACTGCAAACTATTCAACGTTTTTCTTTTTCTAGTCGTAACATCTACAAAATCAAGCCACACTTGATGGCCCACACTAAAATTCACAAATGGGAAAATAAAATCACGAAGATATTTCTAAGTACTCACGGTTGGATTTTGTTGGAGAACCTCTGGCGCAGGATAAGAGCAATTGTGCCGAGGACCATCATGGTTGTGCACATGGTTCTGACCCAAGGATCTCCAGCCCTGGGACTGTCGTTGCTTCAGAGCACAGAAGCTTCTCACCCCATTGAAAGGCTTGAAAGGAACAGTGCATAGTTTGGGCAGTAACCATCAATCTATTCCTGCCTTGGCTTTCACTCATGATTGGGGCAGATTAGCACAAAGGATTAGCCAGGATCAAGGAGCGGGTTGGATCTCGCCAGCAGGGCTACAAGGTAAACAGAGCAGACTGTGCTGCTATTCTAACAACAACCCACATCATATCGTTAGCACGGCACGACAAACCAACCTCTACTTTCTTTGTTGACAAGGAAGGAGACCATTTTGGAAGTATCGCACCAGGGATCCACCAAGACCAGTCAGTGTTAATGTATTTTTGAATGCTACCAATTTACTGGTATTGTTCTCATGCATTTTGCAAAATCTTGGTGTAACTGTGTAGCTCATTGCTGGTGAAGATTCTCAGTCATCCAGGACATGATGAATTCAAAAAGTGTTCAATACAAAAACAACTGGACTTTATTTGTAACAGTAGCACTTTGTAGCTCGTTCAGACTCTTTACACCATGAGTCTAAATTTGCTCCACGAGGGCCAAAGTTCTTTACAGTCAGTGAGTGAAGGGGCCGTTCTTTGCCTTTTGTCCTTACCCATCATTTTGGTCTCAGCCATTTAAGTTCCTTTACAAATTGTTCAATTTTTCAATCGTGTTGGACAACCTTCCACTTTTTTATTGCCTCTTGTAGCAGCTGTAATGATAGGGTGTATATTTTGCATACACTACAAAATCAATTACTGACGCAAAATACTTCCTTGGGAAATGCCTTTTGAAAGGTTTTATTGCTTATCAAGCTTGCTCTTGTAGTGAACAGTGTAGGAGCGTCACTTTTTGAAACTTTTGTCATGGTGGATAAAAACCACCAGTGTCAAGGTGATTTTTGATGTTTCCAGCAGCACCAATATTTAATTTTTATAACACAGTCTACATACAATACAACATTGTTGTCACATGTCAAATTTGTAAACAATCAATTTAAATAGCTATTTTTTTAATTTTCTGTAGAGGCTCTGCTGTAATGCTAATGCTAGCTTTTATATAAACAGTGTCTCTGTGCTCTTCTGTGTCAGTGATTCAGCTAGCAATGTTTCTGTTAGCATCATTGCTGCTACTGTTTGTGTAAAGTTGCTTTAAGGTAAGTAGCAATATATTTTTCTTTTGTCTTAGGTACCACAAGGTAGGGCCACAGTTCCAACAACCCCTCTGTTTTTGTACTAAAGCACATGACGCCAAAAAACAAAAAAACAGATATAGTTTATTTTAAAATCTTTTGTGCACCACTGAGTTAAAGTAAAAAAAAAGGCATTTCGCTTCTCATCCAAGGAGCTTTCTCAATTTGAAGAACAGAGAGTATGGAGTTCGAGTTATTAAGCTAAGCTAAGCTAGATACATATGCAGATTGCCCTGTCAATCCTCACAATAGGAGTTTGTAAAGGGTTCTGTCGTTTGAGTCAGGCTGCAGCAAAGTAAATAATGTGCTAAACTGGGTTTTACTTAAAAAAAAAAAAATTAGTCTACTGGCCCGAATGGAACGACCTCACAGGTCGGAAACGACTTACGAGCCACCAGTTGATGATCACTGATATTGCAGGTGGTACGGTGCAAAGTTCTTCCAGCCTATTTTAAAAAGCACATTACTTATCAGTACAAAGAGGAACTGCAAACAGATAAGCCACTTATACTTAGACCTGCTGACTAAAGCAGAGAATAAGAGAGCACTAGGCCAAGGAATAATAAAGAATCAAGTAAGATTTGGAGCAGACGTAAAATTATTCTACATTTTATTTCAAATTGTACTCATTTACAAATACAAATGTGATTTATAATGAAAAAGTACAATTATCACCATTAACTATTAAAAATTGAGACATTAGTAGTACTGTATCTACCAAAGTGGACACAAGTAAAACACAGATGGATAAGAGGCATCTGTAAAACATTATAATGCTTACAAAGAATCCTGTTTACATTTCAGATTCTACACATTCAGTTAAAGGCACACCCAAAACCAATCTGACCTCTCTTCCACTGTCGAGTCTATGTTTGCACTTTATTTCCCTTCTTTGCTTTGTCCTAAATATGTTAGTCTTCAAAAGAGAACAAATGCAAGAAGAGGAGCTGCTAAGTTATTCTCTTTCTCTTACAAACATGCTGCTAGCTATAAAAGGGCACAGTACTCGCTCCTATTTCTGTATATATTTTTATATATTATCTTATACATAGCCCATGATTATCATAGATTATATTTAAACTGTATTTTCAGATTACAGTCAGTTGATTCTTGGTGTCTGAGGCTAAAGGTTTCAGCCGGTTGAGGCCGACTGTGGCGTCCAGCCCACTTCTTCGTAGACTGCTTTGATGCCGTAGCACAGATTGGCCAAGACTTTGGTCCAAGCTGAGCCCACTTCTGGCGTCACGACCTCTGGGTACTCTTCTCCCAGGACCTCCAGAATCACGCCACTCAGAATCTGAGAGATAAACACGTTCAGATGACCTCAAGTGCATTCAAAACAGTCTAATGTAAGGGAGCAGCTTAACATTAATAATACATTAAAAAGTGATCTGAATCTGTAGGAATTCAAAGTATTAGCAGCTTATCTGGCAAACTTTGTTTTGTTTGTTTGTCTTTTCTTTTACCTAATATGAGGTGAGGTCTCTATATGAGACAGTTCAGATCTTTTAAATTGGAGTTCTGTTGAGAAGTTATGAATAGTTAATATCTTACCTGTTGCAGACCGTACCTCTTTAAATGACCTCAGTTTGGAGAAACTGAGTTTGATTGTGAACAGATTTTTAAAGCTCATGGCTAGAACAAGTAGAGCCACGACCAAAGGGGATTACTGACACAAGACCACAGTCTACTTGGGTCTTAGCCTTGCTCATACTAGCCGTTAGCTTCTCAATGTCCTCAGAATTAAACTCTGCTTATGATACTAATTATTTATATGCTTTTCACAGAACCCTCTTTAAAAGAGTTGAACAATTCTTTTTAAAAGTGCTGCCTCTCATTTCCCACTATTTTGCTCCTTCAGTGGTCGACTGCTGTCCCAGACCTGCTCCACAGCAGATTCAGGAAGTCCATTGTCCCTCAAGCCATCAGACTGTTCAACTCCTTCCCGTTCAGTAAAATGAGAGCCTTGTAAATCTGTGGTACCCCGGACACTTATTTATGAGTATGCATGTATACAATGATCCCCTCACCTATTGCGGGGTTACATTCCAGAGACCCCCACAGTAGATGAAAATCTGCGAAGTAACTGTGTTATGACCTGACTGAAAAATGTTGGATTGTATACCTGGATTATTGAGCATGGACTTGGTTGTTTTCAACCAGTTTGACAAGACTGTCAACAAGGAAGAGGGCCGGTAATGGAGGAGGGGGAGTACCAAAGAGACCATCTTATCACAAGCAGAACTGGTTTGTTCCACTTTGGAGTAAACTGTTGGGGGAAGAATCAGTTTTGTTGTGTGTTCCCTTGACTGATGAAGCCTTCCGGACCGAAGGCGAAACGTTTCAGCACAAAAAAAGAAACTGTCCAGATGACCTGACTGAAAAATGTTAGCTGTGTTATATTTATTTTATTATTTATATATATTTAAGGCTTTATAAACCATTCTTACTCTCTTATAAACACTGTATATGCTTCATATGCTCTTAAACACTTTGGCAATCTCGATGAAGATGATGAAACTGTACAGCATGTACAGTACACACAGTATCAAGAAATGGGTTTAAAAAAACTTGTGGTATAGTAAAGCCACAAAAAGTGAACTGCAATATAGTGTGGGATCATTGACATATACATGTAGCTATATGTATATGTATGCTTAGATGTGTATGTATGTCTACAATACATATTAATCATGAATGTAGTACTTCCTACCACATTGTGCATATGCATATTGTATTTTCCAAATTTGTGTATTCTGCTTCTTTTTTGATTATTTCATTAGTTTTTGCCTCAAATTTTCCCCTATAATTAAAAAGTATCTACCTACCCATCCATCCATCCATCCATCCATCCATCCATCCATCCATCCATCCATCCATCCATCCATCCATCCATCTATCTATCTATCTATCTATCTATCTATCTATCTATCTATCTATCTATCTATCTATCTATCTATCTATCTATCTATCTGTCTGTCTGTCTGTCTGTCTGTCTGTCTGTCTGTCTGTCTGTCTGTCTGTCTGTCTGTCTGTCTGTCTGTCTATC